AATCAGCACATGAAGAGGCTCCGTGTCATTGCTGCGCTCACGCCTGGTGCCGCTCTGAACTCGTTGACTTGAAGAAGTTATAAATAGCCTCTGAACAAGAGCACTGAGAGGAACTGACCATGCGGCTGGAGCCACGACCGCGCACCATGATCTTGCATCCTGTGTCTTCCTCCAGCTGCTTTGCTGTCATGCCGCGAGGGCCCAGGATACGACCGACGAAATTGTACTGTAAGGTAACATTCGGACATTTGAGGACTGTAAAGCTTGTGCGTCGCAATTCAAGATTTCATCAGATTTGCTGGAAATGACGCTGCGCATTTGACGGTTCCAAAGGCCGACGGGAGCTTTCAAAAAGAAAAGGGCTCGTTTCTGGAGGAAAAGATGGTCTGCTTGTTTTTGCCTTGTTGCAATTGTGGGTTCCTTCAGGGTACGCCGCAACCCAACATCGTAGGATTAGTGTGAAGTTGCACAGAAGTAATGCAACGAGTTTCCAGGACCAACCGATTTCGTGACTTTCGTGATTGACACTATTAGCAAGTGGCTGCTTTGGGAAGGATCGGCTGATAAGTAGGCCAACGCAATCACATCCAACAAGTCAGCATATGAAGGCATAGATCGCAGGTTGTTGCGTTTACGGCTTTCACTGAGTGGATTTTGAGAGCAGTCAATACTGACAAAGCGAATCTCAGGCAGGTGTAGAAACTCACTCTGGGATAACGGTCGACAGGCACTAGGATCATTTCTGTGAGAACTACTTTCTCGCCACGTTCCTCTTCTGCCACGGCATCGTCCACGTGAACCTGGGCGGACATGGCCGCGACTACGCGAGCGATCTCTGCAAATGGTCACTGACATCGTGATCTGCAGGCTCTAGAATGAATATGGGACGACGTTGGGTTTGCAGAAACGCTGTTTCGCTGAGCAGGGCTCTTGCCTAATTCTACAAATTCTTCATATTTTTTCATATGGTCTTTCATTACTAATCTTCATTTGATGATTGACTGTACTTCGAACTAAAGGTGGGGAATTTCATCTAAGTTCTGGCGGAATAAGGCCACACGGGATGAGCCGTACACCAAGCCACCTAATTTTATCTATACTCGATATCGGTGAGTTGGGGTGGGCGTGTCACCGGAAGTGACGTGCACTTGATAGAAACTATGTGGATAAGCTGCTTCCAACATACATCGCTGGCTATCAGCAAAGCATGCTGGCAACAGCTTATCCACGCACTTCTATCAAGTGCACGTCACTTCCGGTGACACACCCCCCCAACTTTCGGATACGGCATGTATTTGCTTTCTATTTAACAAATCGCTTGACTACTATTATCTACAAAACTAAAATGTTTTCAAAGCGGGCATCGGCAAGCGGAGTGGACGGATAGGTGGATTATTAATCTGAAGCGTGCAATCAGGGTGGGAGAAATTAGGAGAGATCTGAATTTTAGTTAAACGTTGAGAGGGGATACGCGTAGTACAGATACGGATGCATCTACATGTACCAACACACTGATAGGATGCAGAAAACGAAGCCTGTTGTTAAATGGAGAATCATTTGTGTTGGGCTGGATAGAGAATATTTTGAAGACCGATGAGATCTCCACGGGTGTGTAGAACTTCAACTTCAGGAGAAGTGAGGTCACTCGACTGGATGTCCTGACTCAAATCAACAGTCTCAGCAAGGTTTTTACCTTCGAACGATTCGCTAGCCATAGTCAAGAACGTAAGAAGTGCGACTGAAGAAAAAACTCACCTTTGAAAGCTAGAAAGGAAACTGAACGGCTTCGAAGTGGGCGTGGTTGGAAATCGTCCGAAGGGATTGCAGTTGACTGTCCAACCACGTTCGGAGACGTTCACCTCCCATTCTAGCAGCTTTTCAAGATGACTTTTTGTCAATCACACTCTTAGTTCTTGACTGAGGGTAAGTACATCATTCACACATTATGTAAAACAATGATTTTGACTTGTTTTTGTTGTTAACTGCTGTTTTTGGCCGCAGTTCGCCTTGCGAATGTTTCACAAGAATGCTGGGTTGTGAACAAAACTTTCGCCCCAGGCGGGACTAGAACCCGCACCTCTCGCTTTCCGGGCAAGTGCGCTACCAGTTACGCTACCGGGGCACCATTTCATTCCAACTCAGCTTTTCATGGTATACGTACCATAGCTTTCAGCACGAAGACGTCTAGAGCCAATTACGAAGCAAGGTGCGGGTTCTATGGTACTGACGGGCGAAACGTTTTCTTCACAAGCCCCAGACTTCTTGTGAAAACTGCGCTAGGATGTTGTTCATTTTAGCGACGGATTGGAAAGGGAAGGTATACGTTGTCTTGGTCCTTCGCCGGTTATCGATGGACGTGGGTTTAAATGTCAAGTACGATTCTGTCGAGGTTCATTTATCACAGAAGGTTATTATCATTGGGACCATTCAGTGTGATTAGATTACCCAGTGTAACCTAGTCAGGCTCGAAGTTGGTGCAAGTTCGAAGATGAGGCCATTAGTCCGACTTTTTGCGGGATAAAGAAAGGCAAAGCAATATGCTCAAGTTGGACGTAGTGCGTAGCCAAGGTATTGATATTTTGCGTGAGAGCGCACGATTGTAGATCGTTCAGGCACCAAGCAGTTCTGTGTCGTTTAGCGTGATATCTTTATTTCATTAATGGCACAGCCATATCCTCAAAATTTCTATCAATTTGAAGGTTACTTCCGGCGACGCGCCTACCCCAACTTTCGTATATCGACTGTAGATTTTTTTTTGCTTCCATCATTTTTTCAGCCCAAGGTAAACCTCTGTCTCCACAGGCAAATAGGATTAGTACGCAACAGCGAAGTTGGTACAGTGATGTTTCTTCCATACCCATTCGAGAGAAAAATTCGGATCCCAAACTCTACGCAGAACCGATTGTGACAGGGATGGAACCTTAGTTTGAACGGTCACTTAACTTGTTGGGTGATGTTTATTGAACGCACTCCTCGACAGAGCACGGTCGTCACGGGATCGTAAAAGGAACGGAGGGTCTGCAGGCGTTACTTCGAGGAGGCGACAGAAGGATGCGTCCTTTGCGTATTTATCGACTTTGCCACTGGCATAGTGTTCCAGTTGATTCGTGTTCAGTACCGGTAGAAGGACGATCTATATGAGAAAGCGTCTTCGATTAAAGCCAAAACCACAGGTCGAATGAGTGAACTAAAAAAGGTAAAGGCCAAGCTTTGCCGTTGATCAATCCCGCTTGGGATGCGGCACGCATTCTACTTCCATTTGTACATTCGTAGTGGCGTTTGAATGCGATGTGGCCTATACAATGACTTGCGGGGGCCAGCCGATGTACAAGTCAGTGTTTTTATCCTCCCAGACAAGTCTGGTACCAATTAACCGACCCCGGAGGGATGGAAGGCTTGGTTGGCCTAGGGCGAAGCACGACCCAAGATCGCCGCACCGCGCGCGTGGTAAGCGTGCCAATTGCCACTACACCACTTTCTGCCCTGGGCAACTAGCTGCGGTTGGCGGGGAAAAGATGAGCTAGGACGTCTCTGTTGAACACAGTCGCATCAAGCTCTTCTATCTATCAATCGTATGCGGCTAATTCTGAGTCCGACCTTACGCAGATTCACGGGTGGCAGGCTGGAGTGTTAGGTATTCGGAGAAGTTAAGCATAGCCGCCATCAGATCACTTTGTAAGGCCCTAGCGCCATTGCTGCGCATTTTCGAACCGCGACTACGGAACATCGAGCTACTCTAATCCATCCACAGAACTGATCTTCGACATGACCCCAGAAGGGGTTGTTGCTCCATCGTTCCGTTTCTCTGATTACTGATACCCGACAAAAAACCTCCAGCTACATCTGTCTGTGATCCTTTCCAAATCAGCTTCCCCCAAGATCTTCCTTTTCCTACGAATGCTTGGCAGCTCCGCTGTGCTCACTTTTACTCGACACAAAAATGATGTTTTGTATAGTGAAGTCTTATCACAATCACATTAGAAGTGTTCCTGAACATTATGTTTTGACCTTAGCTTAGCTAGCGGCTGGTTTGCCTCCCTCCTCCATCTCGCTACCCCCGCCTCCGCCTCCTCCAGCTGCCTCGGGAGTTCACTTCCTCCCCCAGGCCAACCAGAGCTGCGTGACAACTGAAGCCTTATATTAGGAGTAGCCTCAGGCTCACACATTGGCTTGTGATCATGCCTAGGGTCAGGCTTAGGCTTATATTTCCTATAAGCAAATCAGCGGTGTTCCATCAGGGGTGACCTGAACAGACGGGAAAACTCATGCACACTGACTTCACTCTGCTGGTGGACAAAGAGACAGGCTAACATTGGTAAATTACGAGCACGCACACATGTATTCCGATTAGACAGGGTTCAGAGTTCGCGATCGTAGATGCGGTTGGGCGCCTAGGCGAGTAAGTGAATAGACGAGTAGGTGGTCAGGGCAGAGTGGTAGGCTATGAAAAGGTATCAAGGCGTTATCGAAAGATAAGGGAATCATTATGGTGGCAATGCAGAACCGCGTAAAAATCTCCTTTCGTTGGAAAGCTTAAGCCAGAGGAGAGACTCCATGGTGTGCGAAAAGTTTTCGTTCTTCCCAAAATGCCTTTCCTCCCCAAGCCGTTTTCCCGAAAGATGCCTAGGTATCTTCCGGTAGCGCCCGTATCGATTTGCTTGATTGAGAGTTGGCGATCGTGGGTGCGGCTAGGCGATTAGGCGATTAGTCTATAATGAGAAATATACGTATAGATTAGGCGTTAGGCGAGTAGGCGAGTAACCGAGTGATTAGTAGGCGATTAGGCGGAGAAGGCTGGCCGCATGCATATGGATTGGTTTGCTCCGCCCATAGAGCGTTTAGGCGAGCTAGCGAGCGCTCAGTGGGAGGAGCAACCCTTATCGCCTACTCGCCTACTCGCCTAATCGCCTACTCGCCTACTCGCCTACTCGCCTAATCGCCTAATCGATACGTATACTTTTCATTTTGAATCATCGCCTAATCGCCTAATCGCCTAATCGCACGTACGATCGCCAACTATGAACGCTCCATTATTATACAATAGGAATAACTTCGTGTACAGTCGATATCCGAAAGTTGGGGTGGGTGTGTCACCGGAAGTGACGTGCACTTGATAGAAGTTGCGTGGATAAGCTGTTGCCAGCATGCTTTGCTGATATCCAGCGATGTATGTTGGAAGCAGCTTATCCACATAGTTTCTATCAAGTGCACGTCACTTCCGGTGACACGCCCACCCCAACTCACCGATATCGAGTATATATGTTGTGTGTATGTACGTGTATATTTGTGCATCTCTGTGCACATGTTGTGTATGCGTGTGTGTATGTCGAAATGTTCATCACA